AAGTGACGAATCTAGAATTTTAACTGGCTGCCGTACGCTCGTAATTAGTCTATATGGTTGTCATGGTGAYATCCACTCGTCAAGTGTTGCTGAAACAAACTTCCTCTCGTCTCGGAGAGCGACACATAAATGTGGTTTTATAAACTTGTTGACACCTTTMCTGGTGTCGAGATTTTTGTAATCTAAGTAATGTTTCATCAACCACAGATTTGATACTTTTTGCGGAAACGTTTTGAAAAGGTTTCTACACCTTTTTTCAGATCTCGTTCCGTAATATCCGGGAAGGCAACACTGTCTGATGCGATTAACTACCWTTTTTTTTTAATTCTGTTACCATCAACGCAGTCTCGTTTCCAGGCTACTCTCCTCTTAAGTATGACGTCAYACGTCATATTTGTACCTGTGCCTTTGTGAATACTGATAAATACATGGTAAAAATGTAGGTGAAATAGCTTGCTGACTTATCGGACCTTAATCTTTCGYGGGAGTGTGTTTAACTAGGTACAAACACTTTWTRTACAGCAGCAATGTTACAATACGTCATCAATAAAACGTCACGCGAATTTACAGAAATGTACAGAAAAACACTTTTGATACCCTCTCAATTCTCACCGTCTAGTTTGTTAATAGCGGTGACTACATTTAAAATGTCTAATTTTGCTCATTTAACGATATTTTATATTTTCGGTCTTATTTTAGYTCATATAAAACCCACCGGGTACCAGTTTSTAACTTCCTAAGTTCCCGCRGGGCTAAAAATGATGTGYACTGAAAATTTCCTGACCCCATAAAATGCTTACAACACTTGACAGCGACTMGAAGGAATAACGTGAGCAGTTGTCAAGGCAACTGTTGCTATGTGTGGGAAGTGAACCATAAASTTTGTCTCAAGTTTGCGAAATTAATTATCTTTGAGTCATTTGGCAAAAAACGGTTCATTTGTGAAGTACTTAAGACCGTTCAAGCACGCACGTCCTCGCGTTACCCGTAAGTACAGCAAACGAAAGGTAAATATATTATAAATATAGCGAGCTACCTAAATTTTGATATAATACAACTTTACGTAAGGTAATAACAAGTTTATTGAATAAGAAAAAAGGAGGTCTAGGAACCCACTACTATTGAAATACAAATTATGTTTTGGACAGCGACGTATAATGTCAAATTTGGAGCGATTTGCACTTGTCTGTGTAGCAATAGCAAGGCTGATAACATGCGAATTTATTCTYTTTTTGAAAAGCTCGAATAATGGGCGATTTGTACGCAAAAGGCCCAAATACAACAAACTAGGCGCATAAAAAGTCACAAAAACTATTKAATTCTCTTTAAGCGCATTTCATTTCGAAAAAGTAGGCGATGTTGATCTTTGAAAAGTGCTGTTTTTTCAATTTTGTTGATGTTTATTKTTCGGTACTGTTTWTTCGGTAGGAAAAGTTTAATTTCACTTTTATTACAAATTTCTCCACAAGCAAAACTAGGTAAATATCAACTAAAGTTTTCTATGGATTATTTGATTATAAAAGTAAAATTTAATTTTGATATTTTTGTCTTGCATCACATGTGTYATATTCAACTAAATAAATTTGCAGATATTTAATTATCATTGTTGCTATTACGACTCTTTGTCTCCGACTGTTATTTTTTCCTTTCCATTATCATTTCTATTCTGTAATTACTATCATAATATATAGGTTTCCTCTAGTTTCCAAAGACAGTGGTGTATCGCTTCACTAATTGAAAAACCTAATGCATTGGTCACGATTTTATCGATAACTCTTTCAGACTAGTTGTCTGTTCACCTTGAGTTGTTYGTTGGTTGAATTCCGCATCGAAAACTACTCCTTTCGCTGTTGCTTGGAGGACTTGGCGGGAAGCTTCAAAGCTTGGCAAATTCAACCTGGACTTGTGTTTTTGTGGCGTATTTTTTGTGAGTTTACTCGATTTACTCGAAACTAGACGAACTTTTGGAAATATTTGCTTAGAAAACTCTTTATTAATTTTCATTATCGGGTATTAACTTCATTGATGTATGGTTTTGAAATTTTTATTTAACTTTTTGGGGTTTTGGGAATGCAATGTTCGTTTTTTCTCCAATTCAGTAGGTGTGTAATTGAATAGCTAGAAAAACAGAAAAAAATGCTCAGTTAACGTTAACTAGCTTAGCTGAAAAATTTATGCTATCATTTCTGTTTTTAAAAGCACATGTTTCAAGCATAGAAAAGTTTTAAAACGACAAGAAAGAAATAAAAAAGGGGTTTTTGTTAATTGCTGCCATTTATTAAAAGGACAGTAATTATAGTGAACGCTTTTGAACAGTTTTACAGATTTAATCATTTACTGCTATAATCTTAGTTTTTCAAACTGGTTGTCAAAGAGAATGAGAAAGATAGGGAATTTTCATGTTATTTTGCGCTCGGCTTGGTCTCGCCCTACACCGACGGATGGCACGCTAAACCAACTGCTAAAAAAGAGCATCCTTGACATAATGATTCATAGTGACTCTTGTCTTGTTATCCATAACAAGACAATTCGGTCTCCATTTATTGTTACTAGGATACCTGTTAATTTACCCATAAATCCTTTCGGTGTTGCCGACAACGCGCAGAAAACATTAATTTTTTTTTGGTTGTTTTTCCTTTAGTTTCCTAAAAACTGTATGATAGTTGCATGTTCTCCATGGCACACAATCCCAGTTGCAGTTTGATTTAGTAGAAAGATAYAATATTTCTTCACTACTTCATTAAAACTGCGATTATCATTTTTAATACCCATAAATCCCTTTGGCCGTAACTTTCCTTCAGACCAATTATTTGCCATTTTCCTGGCAAACGTTTTAAAATAGCTGCATTAAGATATATTATATGATATTGTTGTTATTGCTGTTGATGTGATTATYATCATATTTATCACTTTGTTGCTGGTTGTCTGAATCACGGAATGTTGGATGATCCACAATTATTCAATCATTTGGCCTGATATATCGTTGACCATGATTATAATCATTAAGAGTATTATACCTCGTCATTTTAAATGAATTGAGATATTTATGAACTTATTATTATCAAATAATTATTGTTGTGAAACTACATGAGGCAATCATTTCATAAAATTCTGACAGCTATAGCAGTGAATCATCACAGGTCTCAAATGAATATTTAAATAATACTGTAGCTGAATTCGGACATTATGCTCTGATGGTRCCCCACCGCGGCGGCCACTATCGTGTCGCTTGTTCTACTCTCTATCAATAAGAGCGGAGGAAAATTATTTTTTGAATTTTTTTATACTATATGGGATAGCTGATTTCAAATTAGCTGTGTTAATCCTAGACAAAATGTTTGAATCTTCCAAAATAAGTAATTTTAAAGACTAATATTTAATCGATTTTTAAACTCAATTTGCGACAAAAAAATGAAGATAGGGGGAAAAAATAAGTAAGTAATATAAATTATTCGTGGTGCACTCAATAAAAAGATTTTTAGTGGTCCGAATTTTTTTCCAAATATAAGGTTATGCAAGTTTTATTATTTTAGAGAAATCAACAATACTTTACCATTATTATCATAAAAATGGCACTTACAAAGCCAGCCAGCCAGCCAGGCTCACAGACAATGGAAACCCTTAGGACAAACCCAAAAAGAGACTCAGTTTAATAATGAACTGACTTCAATAGTGAGCCTTTGTTGTATACGACTGGTTTCTCAGATCATTCCGAGTTTCCCAGTTATTAAATGGTCAAATTATTCTTTCCCCCAATTTACAGTTTATTGTCTTATGCAGCGTAGAAATTGAAAAAAGATTTTAATCTATCGCTAAATAATGTCCTTTCAGGAGCGAATTACAAAGTAAACACACTTGAAGAAGAAATAGAAAACCTTGAAGACGACCAGCAGGCAACAAGTTCACTGTAAGTATAAACACACTTGATATACTGAAGTTCTAAAGACGAAACATTGTTGCTAATGCCACCCAATGACATATATTGTCAACTGTCTTGTCATATAGAGAGTTTAAGAAAGTAATTTACTGAAAAAATGAGTGATTTCACTTCTCATCGAAATTTAATTCTGAAGTTCTCGTATTACTCAAAAGGAGTGGTTTTTATGAATTCTAGCAATTCTTTCTCTGCTGTATTCATACAACAAAGTCGCGTATCCTCGGGGTAACATTGGCAACAGCTTTTTGTCAAAAGAGAGTATATTTCTTTCATGAACAAGAACGATGCAATTATCTTGTAGTTAATTTAAAAAGAACTTGATAACGCGAGTTCTCCTRGAAACTAAAAACGCTCATCATAAGAAACCTAGGCAACCATATATAATAGAAGCTCAGACGCSCGTATAACTGGTGTTTTCATTGAAAAGTCTGGAGTTTATAGTAGAAATGAAATTGCCCTAAAACCATTTGGTTTTTGAGTAGACTTTGGCTGGCCTTAGGCTTTGTATCTCCTTGGCAAAGATACATAGTCATGATGCAATTTCATTTTGGTTGTTGACTCATTAAAAATTCAGCAAATATTGGACGCCGTTCATTATTCATTCGTATTCTAATGACTAAAGCGAATTGCGCGCAATATTTGCAAATCACTGTGCGTATACCACACTTCCTATATATCCAGCGGTGCTAATCTACCATTTGATGTGACTTTACTATATTTGACATCAAGAAATTAACCCTATTAGGCTACGCCGAGGAAGCATTGCTTTTAGAGAAGCCGCTCTGTTCTCAAGTCCCCGCCATTTTGTCAGGAAACTCRTGGTGGYTTTCTCCTCTAATGAATCTCATATAGTCGGCGAAGTAAGAATCATACMGYGCTCAATCAGAGGGGGGGCTAAAATATGAGCATCTATAATGACCCTCGCTCTATTTGCGCCTCAATTAAGCACTCTTGGGTACCTTTTTGTTCGTGRAACTCTGACCAATGAAATAAAACTTAATCACCAGCAATGACGTCATGTATAGTCAAATTGGCAGTCAACTAAAAGCTGTCAGGAGTTGATTTTAACGCATTACCAGACGATAGCACTTAAGATTAGTGCCTTAAGAATTCGTAACCAGATGGCGGGCGGCGATTTTAGATTCAGTTCACTACGACATGGAATACAAAGAATCGTTRGGTTTTTATAAACACCGAGGAACGCGATGATGTTGTCGATAATCTAGAGGTCGTTTCTTAGTATTGTTTATCGGCTCGTCTTGCGAGGCGATTTCAAGAGTTATCTTCACTGGAAGATTACAAGGATCAAGAGGTTGTTTCATGCCGGTCAAGAGGGCGCTTTCCGGTACTATTAGTAACTTTGTCAAACCCATTCTAGACAGGTAGAACACGAACAAATTATAATATATCTTTTACCTCGAGGATAAGCCGTAACGAACATGCGTCAATCGTGTACACAATCACCGCACGCACGTGAGCGCTTCGCATACGTTTACCCGACGTAAATAACCCGCACAAACATCRTAAATTAAACTACTTTGAGGAAAAAGCGAGAGCGTTAAACCACAGATTCGAAACTGCACTAATTGGGGCTGTAATTCGCGTTCTAGACCACGTGAAATCACGAAGTTTTCATTAACAAATAGCATTAACACGCAAGGATATCTCCACTCTCAATCTAAATCGACGCCATCACAATCGACTAGTGAGTATTTAAATGCATTTTAAGAGTAAATTTACGGTTTTTTATGTACTTAGCAACGCGCTGGCTCGGTCTCGGAGAAAGCATTGCTATGGCTATTAAATCACCCTCAACTGACAAGCATCATTTTAATGTAATAAATCGGTGGATTGTGCTGTCTAACAGTCATTTATGTGTCTCTCGTAGGCTTGTGAAGACGACATCAACAGCATCGCGACCGCGATCTTTAAAACATAAACCATGAACATAACAAATTCCACCCTGCCTGTTCATCCAGAAATGGCAATATACCCGACATTTTCAAGGGAGCTATGGTATTGGTTAGCGCGAGGTATAATTGCGATCATAACAATCTTTGGCAATGGTTTAGTCATATATCTCATATCAAGTAGAGTTGTTCTGCGAGAACAACCTTCGCCGAACTGGTTTGTACTTTCGATGGCCGTGGCGGATTTTTGTGTTGGATTTATMAACTTTCCTTTGAACATTTACTTTGCCTTCACCCTCTTGCCTTCTGTCAAAGATCCTGGTGAGCAATGGGCTGTTCTTAGCCTTGTACAAAACGTTTCCTTCAATGCATCGGTGACGAACCTTGTACTGCTGACTCTYGATCGTTATCTSGCCGTGGTTCATCCCTTCACGTACGAATCATTTATGACGGCAAAAAGGGTCCTTTGGTTGATTATACTTGCATGGGGTGTAGCGACACTCATGGAGATACCATACCTCGTCCTGGACCTTCAAGGACGAGCAGGCACTGATCCGAATGATTACTTAGTAATGCTTGTTATATACTCAGTCGTGTTGGTCTTCCTGCCGTCCTTCTTCATGATATACGCGTACGGACGAATCATTTGTGTCGCTAGAAGACACAAACAGAAGATCAAAGAGCACGAAAAACAGCTTGCGTCGAATTCATCGATACGACGCGGAAAGATGGCTCATAGCGGAAACAAAAACGGAGCGATGGTAACAGTTGGGACACTTGTACTTATTTTCGTGCTGTCGAATCTTGTTACGGAATATCGTTGCCTCTGTTATCTTATACCAAGCTGTTTCGAAAGCATACAAGCAGCTTACGTATTTTTATTCTTAAGRAATCTGAACTCAGCGCCCAACTTTATCGTTTACGCATTCATGAAACAGGACTTTCGGCGGGAATTACGTAAGACTATTCGGCGGACATTTCGATAATTGTAATTTCATTAAAAAATAGGCGGTTTAAAGTTCAAACATTCGGCGTAATGTGTTGTATAATCAAAGATGGTTCATGTAGCGTGATAGATCTCGTAAATAAACGCACGAACTCTGTTTTGCTGTTTTGACTTGGATGTTTTCCTTTCRAAAAGGAAAAAAATACCCTAAACACTCTTAAGTTGGTGTAAACTKACTGCGAGTTTTRGGTAAATACGCAAATGTGATCGCTCACCGTGGGYGCACGCAGACCTAGAGATTCGATATTGCTTGAGCGCTAAGAACGGTCATATAAGAAACAAAATATTTGATTTAGATCATTCGCACTTCAAAGAGTTCTATATAGATATCGGTGCCTCGGGCTCTACTCTTTTGTTTTATTTCTTTGAATGAATATAGAATGATTCTCGTTTCCAAAAAGAAACTCATCTTACCAAATCAAAATCGGATAAGCTTTGCCTTGGCCTAATTCATCGCAAAATAGCCTTACGTTTGAGTAATTAGCGGGGAACAGTTAGGCTGCTTAGCGAAAGGAGATTAATAATAAAGAGGTTATTGCCCAATGACACCCGCATTACAGTGTGGCTCGCCGTGTTTGTGAATTTCTGTGTGTTTTCTGAACCATCAGCGCTGTGTTTATAAGCCTTATGCTTGATGTATAGTACTGGTTATATCAGATGGGAGGAGATGGGAGGAGATTTGGCCTTTGACAAATACACTTTTCATTGTCAAATAACCTCAGTCATTCATACAATACACTCGAGTTGTATTGAGAGCAAGGAATTAATTTTGTAATCGGTAAAYATAATCGTTTATCGGCGCGCTTTTCGATCCTGAATTCTGTCGTTCTTTGAATGYAACATGGGTCAAAATTATAATTCATTCCTGATGTTARTGACTTTAAAAAAGATGGGAAAATAAGTGAGAAACATCGAGAAAAATTGAGAAAAAGCGATGATACAATAGCATTTTGTATTCAAATATACTTAAATGAGACTTGAAAATTTAATTTAGAAATGTTTTGCAAACAGAAATGGTTCTCCTMAGGAGAAACAGAAAAGAATCAAGCGGCGAATGATGATAAAAAGTGCCAGACTTTGTCACAATAACAGCCAAGCAAAAATGACCGCAAAAAATTGAAACCGATGAAGCGATAACTACGACATAAATAGTTGAAAAGAGATTCGCCATGCTGTTGAACACCTGCTCCTTCRACACCGTGTTTAACTACAGAAACGACGTACTTTCTTCATATATTCATGAGCATATTTCATTTATATTTAATTCCTGCTATATTTCGAAACRCACAGACTCTAATATCATTGTTTTATACATTGGTCAATCTAAGTTGATTTGCAAATGAAGACCAGGCGAGGTTTTTTGATATACAAAACACGAGGGGGTATCTCCGTTAGGAAAAGATATCATATCTAGAAACAGCGCGACTTCATACATCGAAATAAAAACCCGAAAAATTTCCTGTCATTTGAGGACGCCTCGTAATTTGTGTTGTGATTCGATTTTCTGCTTCACAGACATATTAGGAATAGGAGATAAGACTCGACATGTTCTGTGGGGTTATTACATTGCCCATCCATCATTCCACAATGACGTGGTGGCGTTTTTTTGACAATTAGGTACGTTTTTCAAGAGAAATGTTTACAAATAACATGTAGAAAAGACTCTAGTCGGAGGACTTCATTCCCGGCATGAAGTCAACTACGTGTTGTGCTAGGGCGTCGATTGTTTGGCAAAACAGACGTGTGTTCTGTCACAAAATGGAAAAAGTGATCATTTCTCTCGACATCCAAGGCGGAAATTTTAATAAAACAGACAAAGGACACAAAATTACTAAGGAATTGTAGCGTCGTGCTGTGCTATTTTACAAAGCAACTTTTTCGAAGGGTTTTTCTGCCATGCATGATTCAAGCGGGGTTTTTATCGCGATCTCTTCGATGAATGTACAGCGCTGGTATGACTTTATTGCGTCATTTAAGCCTTTTATCGTATGGTGATATGAGATAGGGAGGAGTGCCATCGGCCTTGGGAATTATGCTACACAAAACAAGCAATTCCACACGAAACCGCAAAAAACGTCTTATCACTGGAACAAGACCCATTTATTTTCCATCTATAAAAACAGTGGTTTTAATTTTTTAATAATTGAAGGACATYAAAGTATTTTTGTCTGAAAACTACAATAATAGTGGAATTAAAAGAAAAATTCATGAATTAAGAGAAAAGACTAGACTAATGTCTCTTTTTTTTCTTATTTTTTTTTTGCGTATTTGTTTTGATGTTTTAGTGTGAAATCTACAGCCTACAGAAGCTGATGGCTCCAAAGCAAGCTTTAACTATAACATTGTCCTAAAACAATAGCGATCAGGAATCAAAACGATCAGAAAACGCATTACATGAGACCCCATTACAAATATGAATTCGCATAAGACCAACAAGCATTTGTAAAGCTAACAAAGAAACATGCAATCCAATCACACAGAATAAAATTCCACTACATTAAGAGGCTGTAATCTTTATATCTATACCACCTAAAGTAGGTCAACTTTAAGGCCCTAATTYTATTTATTTACYARKRAAAMYTTCTACAMAGTTCTGTTGACGGCGACACTTCAAAATTACATTCTTATTGATTTATACCCTGCGTGCAGTGTATCGCCATAACGTCGAATCGACTATACCCGCACTATTTAATCCTCTTAATAGAGTCTATTACAGATGTGCTCATCATATCAAACAAAGTATTTATCAAATCTTTCTGCAATCCACTGGATCCGATTAATTAGGAGTGTTTTGCCGGCTCTTTTTTCAATGGTCTATATGAAAAATAAAATACTTAAAAATAGAATACATCTGGTATACATTTATTATTTATAAACCGAGAAGCAGCTTGCTACTGGCGATAAATAATGAGGGCATTCAATCACTTTTCGTTGCAAATTTTTAATACCCTTTTTCGGTTATTAATTCAATCAGTCTTTTTTTCAGTTTTTGGCTTTATCATAATATTTGYTAATTCATTTTTTGGACTTCCTTTAAAGTGGCTATTTAGCTAAGTGTTGTTTCGACGTTATAAATTCTATTCTATTCAAGCTAGTGCTCCGTTTTCCTTATTTTCTCAATGTTCACAAGCCATTTTTTCGYAGCCATAGCTARCATAACATGCGACGCGCACAAACGTCTAGGACAAAGTAATTATTTCATCTTTACTGGACCAGTGCATTTAGGTTTTTTTTTCTTCTCGACATCCCATAATTTCTTGATGATTCAAGATGGCGGCCATATTGGAAAATAAACGAGRTCTCTATCACTGTCATTTACTGACGGCGTAGATATTTTATTTCCTTAGTTTTTTCCCTCTTCTTTTTTTATTTTTTGAATATTTTGAAGCAAATAATTGTTTATATTGGATATAATATGATAAATATGATGACTCTAATAAATATAATTATGTTACTTAAGCTGATGTCTACAATGTTTTTTTTGTTTGTTTGTTTGTTTTTGTTTTTTTTGCTTTTTACGAATTCATTTAGAGACACTTTTTCAGACATATTGTTCCCTTTTTTGTACAAATATTTTTATTACTATTGCATTTTATATCGCGGCTTTTCTTTCTACTTCAATTTATAAATTTCTAACTTTTCGTGTTGTCATTGCTTACTTTAAGCACTTAAACAGTTCTCGAGATTTTCTTTTTTATTTTAGCGGCATAAACACTTCAAACTCTTGTAAACAATCATTTCTTTTTTCCTTCTTATCTTTCGATTTTTTTCCTACTTCAACTCAAACACTCAAAWTTTTTTATCATTTCCTAACGAATAAATACTTAAAACAAATTCGCAGTTTACCCCACTTAACTGACTTCAAATATAACTCTCCCGCTGTTCCTGACTTATTTTTCTTYCCGAGCACTCTTGCGTATTTTTTTCTCGCCTTTTATTTTGACAATAGCATCACTTACTCATTATCTAGCGATAAGTTTTCATCTTCTACTAGCGAACATGAGTACTACGTGTGGTTCGTCGAGCAATTTCCGGCTGTTTCAAATKAAGATCCAAACACTCACCGCTATTGAATAAGACATTTTAAATTTTTATCAAATTAGTGATAGATTCAGGCATTATATCTATCTTTAACGAAACCTTTCTCACCCCAAAAAATAGAAATAGCAACTTTTGTCGTTGTTAAACGTTTCGTGTTCAGGTACTAAAGTCTGCGTGTGATAGAGGACATCTTAAGAATACTCTAGCAGTATCAACTAAACATTCTAACAAATTGACCGAATAATCTTCCTTATCTCGCTCCAAAATACGTCATTTTTTATTCAACGGTGACTGATTGTTGAGTTAAATCTGTTTTGAAAAACACGTAAGCAAACTGCCCGACATAATGCGCGTTTGGCTGCGTTCTTATGTCAAACTGCATTGCGGTTTCGTATCGTTATAAATGTCAACCTTTAGAAAAGAGAGCCTTAGTCAAGTTGGCCAAGAGATTCAGCGAGTTTATCAGTTGAATTTGGTTGTTTTGGGCCTTTTTCTATCGCTGGAGCAGCTACAGCTCTGCATGGTACGTCGTCAAAAAATCCGTGAAATGATTACTAAATGAATACAATTTATAATAAATTTTAATTTCAATCTTTTACGGAGAAAAAGTTTACTTTTTGAGCATGCAAAGCAAATCTCTACACGACGATGATAAAGTAGTGATTGCTGCTGATGATAAGCTTTTATTGGTTGAGGCAGGAGTATATGGTAATACTGGAATGATGACAACTCTGTATCTTACTTTCTTCTCGCTTTTGTGCTCATTCAATCTATTGAGTTAATAATAATAATAATAACCTTTATTTCTCAAGATAGAATAGACATATCCTAATTTACAATGAATAATATTAATAAATACAACAAATATTGTAGTGTGCAGCCAAGAAAATTATACTATTAAAAATTACAATCTAAACTTTGTTATACGTTGTACTTGAAAATTAATCTATTTACAAACGAATTCTTAAATCTTTCTGCATTTAGTTAAGGATGGCAACTGCTTCTTTTTTTTAAGACTGTAAGACGTTACTTTCATGTTTGGTTACTGAATACATA